AGAGAGAGAGAGAGTGTGTGTGAGAGAGAGAGAGAGAGAGCGTGTGTGTGTGAGACCAAATGTCCACACAAAGATAGTAAAACCTGAAATATTTGACATTGTGGGCACCGGCTTGCAGTTCCCACAGGGAAAAAAAATATTAAAAATAGTAAATGATGTTTATCTGAAAGTGTAACAGTGCAAGCAGGTTTTCTGTAAGGGGTAGGTTTAGGGTTAGGGGATAGAAAATATAATTTGGTCAATATAAAAGTAATAGAAGTCTATGGAAAGTCCCCATAATTCACAGAAACAAACTTGTGTGTGTGTGTGTGTGTGTGTGTGTGTGTCCGTGTCCTCAGGTGTGGCGCTGTCTGATCGCTCTGGGCGTCTCTCGTCTGGACTTCAGAGGTTCGGTTCAGTATCCGCCCACTGTTCTCATGGATGAACAGCCAGAGTTTGATTCCTGAAGCAGTATGAACACTTGTTTGCTCTTCCGGTGTGAGGAACGTCCTCACTGTAACCAACAGCACAATCCAAATATTAGTCTTTTTTTCTTGGTTTTCCTGCATCAGTTCCTGATCACTTTGTATAGATCTACTATTGTAGGTCTGGCAGAACTGATAGATCTACTGTGCTCCTCAGATAACTTATTTACTACAACAACAGCTGCAGAAATATGGGCTTAAAATGATTCCTTACAGAACGTACACTGAGCGGTCTGTGTACAATCAGTGTAAAGTCAAGATAATTTAACAGTACAAATTAAACCTAGTTAATGACTCACTAACTAATGATTCATTTGCTGATGAACGGCAGACTAGAAGGTTTGAAACGTTATTTGTAGGTTCTCAAAGGCTGCTTTTCTTACCATGAATAAGCTGATGTAGTGTTTTTATGACCCGCAGGAACATTAGCCTGCCTTCACCCTAAAACACGTGTTTTAATGCCTGAATGAAAGAGAAATGAGTATTTATTTTATTGAAGGAACAGTACAGACGGCATTGAATGCATTACAACGGCATTACAGTTAATGCAGCTGTAAAAAAAAAAAAAGAAAAAATAGAACAAAAGTGCCTTTAAATTCTTCATTGTTTTGTCGTATTGTGCATTCTGATGTGACTGTCATCGAAAGTTTCCCTTCATGCCAGATCATTTCATTCATGTTTTGAAATGCCACTGAAATGATTTTGATTTACGGTTTCTCCGTTTTCATGTAAATGTGAGTTATGTTGGTGTGAGGCAGATACTTGTGTTCTGTTCTGCTGTATGTTTGAGACACATTCCATGCTGTCAGTAATTCGGCTGAGATGTATTTATGTTTTAAGACATGAATCTGATGAACCTGTACACACTGTACATGTGTAGCTGACAAATTAATAAAAGCCCAAAATGTCATCTTCATGAAGTATGATGTGAAATGTTTCAGTGCTACAGCAACAATTTAAGGATCGAGTGCAAACAAACCAGAGTGAGCCGTCTGGCAAAGACAGAAGATCATTTAAGTTACACATATGAGTGTCTATACATACAAGCATCTGAAACCTAGAGCAAGTGCACTTTTTAAGTCAACTATTTTTTTTCTTCTTTTTCTTCAAGTCCATCTGTTTGTCTCTTGGGTGTCGGTTTAATTTCAGTTCCGGTCTGCCTTAAGCAGGCGAGTGCAGATTTGAATGAGATGTTACTACACAGATGATGAAACTCCAGTCTGTCTCTAATCATGCAGAGACGTGCCTAATGAAACCGTCTCAGATTAGCTTCATGATTTCCTATTAATCATGCACACTGTGAGGTATTTTGTGTGCTACCCGTATTTGTATGTCACCGATCTTAAACACAAGGCGAAAGACTGAATTTCACGATTTGACTGATTCACTTATAAGGGATAGAATCATATGTGGCATTAAAAGTTCACGCAAGACTGTTGTGTGACGCAGAGCTCACTGGAAAAAGTGATAGACACCTGCAGGGCCGACAAGACAACGTCAAATCAAATGAAAAGATGAATTCGTTGATGTGAACAAGATAAGCAGTGTCAAATACACAAAGAAAAGAGGAGGCAGAACAGGATGGATGTATGGCCTAAAGAAAGATGTGAGGTTCCAAAACAGATTCAGGCATACTGGACTTTCAAAGAAGAAATAAGCTTCACATAACGACTTCATTGTTCCGAGCAAACTGAGATATGAAAAGCTGATGAAAATTCATGAATCACATCTTGGAGGTGTGAAATGTAAAGAAAGAGCCAGGGATGTTCCGTATTGGTTGAATTGAAGAAGTTGTTTCCCAATGTCTTAATAGCAATCCAAGAGAGCCAAGGTTATCGCATCCAATACCAGGAAGACCTTGGTCAAAAATCGGCGGAGATCTGTTCCATTTCAATGGTTCAGATTACTTACTGTCCGTTGATTATTACTCCAAATTCCTGTCTGACACAACTGCTCAGAGTGTAATTGTGGCCATGAAGACCATGTTCACGAGGCGTGGAATACCAGATAGTCTCAGACAATGGTCCACAGTGCACCAGATTTCAGAGACTTTGCAAAAGTGTGGGAATTTGAAGATGTGACGTCCAGGCCAGGACACACAGCTGAACGAGCAGTCCAAACCATAAAAACCCTGTTAAAGAAAGCTCAGAGTGGCAAAAGTGACCCTTACATTGCTTTACTGGAATACCCAAACACACCATTGATCGGTATCAGGGTTCATTCACATTTTCACCAGTACATTTCCATGACTTTTGAGACAATATTCATGACCTAATGTTCCATCATTTTACAATAAGAATAAAAATCTATTCAGATTTTTCAAAGCGTATATTAACTTGCGTTAAACTTACGGTACACATAAGTGATGGGACTATACAGTATATATAGCCTTTATGTCTCTTTGAGATCAGCTGTAGAGATTTCTGAGTCAATAAAAGTTCAGCAGCTAAGTGATCATTTCTGGTGAGCTATTACGAGTCCAGTCTAGTGTAAAGCTTCATCAGTCGGCACTAAATCTGTTCTAAAACACAAGCGCTCTCCAGAGAGACGCCGCTTCGGCGTGATGACGTGTGCAGTGGCTTCAGAGACTAACATGTTCCTGCTCACCGGAAGACGCTTTCATCTGAAGAGTCTCTCGCTTACAGCACATTTGACTTGCACTGAAAAACATTGGAAATCTTAGAAATATGAAGTAGAAAAACTGAAATAGTATTTCCTGGTACAACTTTATTTTAACGACCAATTCTCATTTTTAACTACAGTAATCAACATTTGAAGTCGATCAAAAAAGTTCATCAAAGTTGTCTTAAGACAAGAACGCTTTTAGGTTTTAGGACAACTTTGATGAAAGGTTTTGATCCACTTCAAATGTTGACTAGTGTAGTAGTTTATTAGCATGCATATTCGAGCAGATATTAATGCTTTATTCTGCATGATCATATTCTAGCCCATACCTAAACTTAACAACTACCTTACTAACTATTAATAAACAGCACATTAGTTTACTGAGGCAAAAGTCATAGTTAATAGTTAATAGTGGGAACTGGTCCCCAAACTAAAGTGTGACCCTATTTTCTTGTAAAACACTCCAATAATCCCAATTTACAACAAAAAATCATTTTCTACAGTGTGTATATGTGTTCTGTGGAATCGAACCCATGGCCTTGTGTTGCTAGAAGCGGCGCCACCAGTTGAGCTGCAACATCGGTTTCATTCATCATGTCCTGAAGATGTCTAGATGAATGCTAGTATATTTTAGACCCCACTGTGTAATTAACACTTGTTTTGTTTGTTTTTTTTTCTGTTTTATTTACGTAGTTTTAGTCATTTTGGTGTGATGAACAAATTTATCTTGCAAATGGTGCCTTATTAAGACCACCTCAAACACACATCAGCTCTACAGTCTGTAATCCGATTTGTAGTCATGGTGGTTAATGGAAGTGTTGCGTAGATTTGTCCCTGATGACATGAGCAGCACTTTAATGGCAGATCCCAGTGTGTGTGTGTGTGTGTCATGCTTCAGCTAGTTAGCAAACACTGTAACAAGCATCAGTCGCTGAGATGAATGGGAAAGTTAACAAATAAAGTCTCCAGGACTTCAGTCACATCAGATATCTTCTAATGATTCTGACCATGCCATCAGAGTGTCGTTTTTCCTGACTGATATGAGGAAAGCAGGAGCTGGCTAGTGTATTGGGAGTGTATTTGCTGAGCTGTTAATGAGATTGAATGAGCGTGTTGATCTCCTGTGGGATCCATCATACAGACCATCACCAATCCCAGCATCACAGATGGACCCTCTTGTGTCTCTGGGGTCAAACACTCTCTGTATTTAAGGCCAGTCTCCAGATCTGCTCCAAACACACACACCACTAAACCAGTGCAGGTAGTAGTACTGTAGTGATGGAAGCGGGCGTGTGGTTCATGCTGCTGGGTGTGCTGCTGGTCATGACCGATAAGGGCCAGTCCATCCCCAAAGACGACGTGCTGGAGCAGAGCAAACTCCTGCTGGAGTCACGCAAGGACGCAGACAGCGACAACATGCTGGAGAGTCGAGGGGTGAGACGCACACTTTTCTATGTTTGATGGTATAAGTTCAGAAGTGCATGGCAGCAGGTAGATGCCTTTGGCTATGAAATTTCTCATGCATTTAAAGAAAGTTCACTACAGCTTCCTTACTCAGTCGTAGCATATCAGACTAGAGACCTTCAAGTAAAAGAGCATCTTGAGTGTTTGTGAAGGAGGGAGATGCTGACTGTCACTGATGTGTAACAGGCCACTGAAGAGCAGATGGATCATCTTCTGGAGGATCGTCTTCTGGTGGAAATGTTGCGCTCTTTACTCCACGGCTCTCAGAGATACGAACGCAACCCTTCAGTGCTGCACCAACCACAGCGGTGCGTATAGTTTACAGAAACATCATTTTTTTTTAATTTCTAAGATTCAATACAATTAAGCACACTTCTTTTTTTACAAGGGCATAATGAGCATGACATTATAACCACATCTTTAAAGTTACCATCGTAAACAATACTGTCAACAAGGTAAAAACTCTGCATACAACTGTACATACACTTGTAGTGTAGATTTAGCTGCTGTTCTGTCCTTCTACTGAAAACCTATATTTATGAGTTTTGATTGCACACAGAGGAAGTGTCTCAAGAGGAGCATTGTAATAGTCGAGTGGAGATCTCTCAGTGAAACATCTCAGTAATGTTAGAAGTGGAAGGGGCCCAAGACCGAACCCTGAGGTACCCCAGTGGTTAGTTTATGTGGCGTAGACACTGCTCACCTCAAACACACTACCCTGAAAGTCCTGCCGGAGAGGTGGCAGAGTGCAGCTGCAATGATGTTTGTGTCACTGTCAGTAGAAAAGAAGATCTGGTGATTTACTGTGTCAAAGACAGTGTATAACTGGATCTCCTATTCAGCAGTACCATAACATTTACACCGTTTTTAACATTTCAGTGAGTATGGAAGATTGTGGGTGGTCTGTAAGATATTCTCTGCCATAAAGATGACAGAAATATCCACAGGATTTACTTTGGCGTTATTCTTTGCACTCCAGGTTTGGTCGGAGGACTCGGAGCGGCTTGTCCACAGAGGAAAGGATACAGTCTCGCGACTGGGAGACTGTTCCTGGACAGATATGGAGCTTGGCTGTGCCACAAAGATTCGGCAAAAAATAACACCACCCAGAGTGAGGTCTTTAGAGTTTTGTAATTAGTAGATCTGAAACATCTATAAGAATCTCATTCTCCCAACCAATCCAAGGCAATCAGTCACTCTTCTGTGCATTTCATCAAACCCTGTGATAGTAATTATAACACACCAAAACAATAATATTTAAATGTAGTAAATATATTTCATAAGTTGTGAATGAGTGGAAGGAAATAGTCATGTGAGGGCGGGTTGTGATTATTCATCCACTGTAAATCATATGTGTTGTGTATTGTATTTTCTGTGTATAAATAAACGATAAGCTGCTTGTTCAGAGACATTTCTGGTCGTTCTTATTCTTGAAATTTTGTCAACAGTATTGGCTGAGCCTTCTTTCTTGCTTTCTTTTTATCAAACTTACTAAACATGTTTTGCAAGAGAAATGTCATGGGTTATTCAAGCCTTTTTTTAAATGTGATAAAATTATGAGTTTTTTTATTTAATTTCTGTGATAATTTCTATGCAGCATTTAAAAGTTAGTAGTGATAACTACAAGTAAACGCATATTTACTCGCAAAGTCTATGGCGATTACAGTCCTGCTTTGTTTGGCACACTGAATTAATTTGTTCTTTGAGCCAAAGAAAAATGTTTTTATTAATATTCCAAAGCACTGAGAGTGATATGTTATTTTCATTTCCAATTATTGAACATCAATGAAACCTATTGGTTGTTTTTAAAGTTATGAGTAA